CCAAAGGAGGTGGCTCCCACCAAAATGTATCATGACCCTGTGTCTTCATTTACTAAAAAAGTATTCTAAAACAGTACTGTGGAGGATTACCAATGAAATAGTCAGTGAGAAAGAGCAATGGCAATGATTTTTTTTCCCCCAGGGGTCATTTTTATTTATATATAATCCCCCTTTCCCTTATGACTTGAGATCCATTTATTCTTTTAATTTAATTTATGATTTTTACTTGAAAATAAAAGGGAAAAAAGGCAACATCTGCAAATGTATAATCATCATCCTCTTGCTATTGTAGTTTTTAGAAAAAAGAAACAGCAAAGCAGAGGTGGGGGGAACTGGAATGACTCTGGAATGCTGACTCCTGTATTTACATCTCAGTGTTTAACGATAGATTTCCACAGTTCCTTCGGTTCATCCAAGTGTCACGCTGCTAATTAAGATGCTAATGAAGACACAGAGCTGACCACAGTGGCCTGGGCTCCTCGTGGAGCTCCAGCTCCACATTTGGCTGCGGTTTGGAAGCGCCAGTGGAGCTCCGGTGCCTGAACTGAGGCCTGGTGGGTTAGAGCAGACAGTGGGCACAAACCACAGGGATCAAGGGGGGTGTTTTGTGGGCAGAGGGATCTGTTGGAGCACAAAGATGCCGTGAGGGGCTCAAGGGTTGCCATAGAGATGCTCTGGGCTGGTTGGACAGGCCGAGAGTAGCGAACACAAAACGCTCCCCGTCGAAGGTCTGAGCCAAAACCACTGAGGGGCTCAGCCTCTCCTGGTTGCCTTCAGTGAGTTGTGGATGATACCTCGAGAGCAGCACTCAATAGCTTATTTCTTGTCACCCTTTTATGTCCCCCTGAAAGGAAGGATTGCAGGAGATGGGTCTCAGCTGATCAAGCTGCTAAGATATGCTCCATTTCCAGCATAATCAACCCGGTGACTTCAAATCCAGGAGGGCATTAGGAGGAAAAGTCCTTCTATCACCACAAAGGCAACAAAATTTCCCCTGGCTCTGGAGTGATGGCTGATGTACAGCTGTGTCATTTTTCCAGGGAAGAAAAGCTCCATCCACACTTTGGTTGTGCTCACCAACCATTTCGCACTGGGGTAGAACAATGAGCTCGGCTTGTTTTCTCAAAGAAAAATGTAAGTCCATAGTGTTTCGCTCTTAAAAATAAATTTAAATACACTGAAGCTCTCTGTCAGACTAATAAAAAGCGTATCTTTGACATTTTTTCAATCTTTTCCCAAACCCTTTAAACATTTAAGCAGACAGCTCATCAGTGACATATTGCATAAATGCTTCACTGTTAGAAGTAATTTTTCACGATGAATCTTTAAAGTGCCAGACTATCTGATAAGTTAAATTTTGATTTTCTTTCTATGACAAATGGTTAATAGTTGTCTCAGAGTCTTTCTGCACTATGATTTTTATCTCTATTTTATTAGGGTAATAATAACATCTAATATACTCTCTCATATCTGTCTTGTTCTTTCTTAAGGTCAAAATTATATCCAGAGCTAAAAGTAGCAAGACACTTCTTCCTTTCTCCCTCTCAGTATTTTAAGGTAATAAATTACCATTTACAGGCAAATAATAGCAAATTAGGAAATCTCAGTGTGATATATATACACTTTAATATGTGCTTGGTAATCAGAAAACCAAGTATTGGTATGTCATTACAACAAGGAATTTTCAGCCTTGCAAGTTAATTAGATGCTATTACATCAGGCTATTTAATTGCCTTTCTTGCCAATAATCTGTGAAGAAGAAAAAAAATGTTAATTCCTCTTCTTCTCTCCGGGCAGATTTTGCTCGTTCATGTTTTATTGGACTTGTTCTTCTGAGTTTCACCTACTGGGAACCTCAGCTGCCTCCTTCAGAGGCACACATCATTTTTAGGGAGCAGAGAAGCAGCGGGAAACAGGTAATAACAGATCCAGCTCTTTGCAAGGAGCCATTCCAGGTGTGGGGACGGGATGGGGATGCAGCTCCCACAGCCACGAGGCAGCTTCATCCCAACCCCAGGGCTCAGGACAGAGGGGCTGCTCAGAGCAGTGATTGCTGCAGCTCAGTGATGGCTCTCACAGCCCAAAGACAGGAACTCTTTAGTGGAAGTTTATGTCCACACCTCTCTCCCAGCCCCTCCAGCTGTGGAAACCACTCTTCTCTGCCCCAACCTCTCCAAAGCCCTTCCCAAATCCATCAGTCATGACACTGCTTACTCAAGATGGCTTGATGGAGACAGTTTCTTATTTTTCAGTAGAAGAAACTGAGTATAAATTGTTTGTCTGAGGTCACAGACTGAATTGTTATCAAAGGCCAAGACTGGCCAGGGCATTCCCAACTTCCTGATTTGCTCCTTAATCCCTAGACAAAGCATTATTCTTCCCACCCTCTAAACTCTTTTATCTTCTCTCTTTCTTTTAAGTTAACCAAGAAAAACAGTCAAGAAAGTCAACAAAATATCTTTTCACAGTGTCATGAATCCCTGTTCTCCAGAAAGGAACGTAATTCCTGGCAGCACATTAATTATGCTGTAGGTTGGCATCCCTATAGCTGGTCCTATGTCCTCTTTTTACTGAGAAAAAAAGAGACATCTTATGCCATTTTTCCCATTCCTGTCAGCATAAAAATTAATGTGCTCAGCGATGGCACCCTCAGATCCTTATTTTCTGACAGAGATCACTGAGGTTACTCTCTGTTCTTTCCAAAATAAAGCCACCTTTAAAGTTCAGGGAAGAGTTCAGCATTTCATCAGAGGCAGCCCTGAGTTTTCAGTGGGTGGTGATGGCAAGATCAGCCCAGCAGTGACAGAACCACTCCTGCAAGTCAGCTGCATAATCTACATTTCCCAGGCTCGCTCAGTGTGATTTAGGTGAGTACAAGACTTATGGCTCTTGGTGGCCTCCTCCTGCCATCTTTTTGTCTGTGCAGGTCCCTCAAGGTGGAGTGGCTTGTCAGGGAACGGCTAAATCATAAATAATGAGCTTTTTCCTGCAGCCAAGAAGCTGGTTTTTTTTTTTCCTGCAGCCCATCCTTTCAATAAAAGGGGATGAAGGTCTGTGCAAGCAGGATCCTGGCTCTGCATCCCTTCCCTGCTCCAAGGCAAATGCCAAACACTAAACGAGTTACTTTCATCCTGCACAATAAACAAAAGGGAAGAGGCTGATTTTCCAAGCTCCACACAGAGCTCTGTTGACTTCCAGACAACCTTGCTCGTCCCAAGTTACCCAGGCAGGAACAGAATTTAGTTATGTAGAAAAACGTTAACAAAAAATGGATGTGAAAGCCCAAGAAAAAGGTATATCTGAATTTGTTCCCATTTTTTTTATATCCTGAAAATTAAGCTGGAGGGGGATATGAGCTGCAAGGAGCAGGACAGAGCCATGACAAGGAGGCTGCACTGTGGCAAAACATCTCCACCCCCACGGCTGTGCACAGGTGAAGAACAGAATCATGGAATCACAGGATCCCAGAATGCTTTGAGTTGGAAGGGATCTTAAAGATCACCCAGTTCCACTCCCTGCCATGGGCAGGGACACCTTCCACTAGCCCAGGTTGCTCCAAGCCCTGTCCAACTTGACCTTGGACACTCCCAGGGATGGGGCAGCCACAGCTTCTTGGGCAGTTCTGGAGAGACCTGGGTGCTGTTGGAGTTGGAAAATTGTATTTGCAAGAGACTGCTGTGGCCAAAATCACGGCAGCCAAGAGCGAAACAGGACAAATGTCCTGCTGCAGTGGAACTTCTCGTGTCACTGCTCTTGCCCTGCTCATCTGACAGTACAGGAGACAGAGTTCATGAGAATAACAAATATCTGACATTTTCCTTATAAATGTTTAATGTTTTCTAGGAGACACTCGACAAAGAGACGCAAGAGCTAAGCAACCTAGAGACCAGCACTATCCCAGAGGAGCCCAAGTGTTTAAGCAGCTCTAAAAAAATATGAAGCATTGAACTTTTCAGCTTGGACAAACACAGACAGAAGTGTGTTTGATCTTCCTGAACCAGCCAGGAATCACCCAGAAACCTGATATCCCACCAAAAGAGCTCCACTATCGCGTCACTTTTCCCCACGGGCTCAGAGGTGCAAAACACAGGATTGGGCACCATGGAGGTGACGATGCCAGACCACCTTTTTGTAGGGTTGATAATGATCTCCTGGGTTATGATCTTTAAGAGGAAAATATTAGAAAACATCCAACTATTGATTTATTATTAGCTCTGAATGCAAAAGGAACTGCATGGACACTGCACATTTCAAGCCGGCGCCACAGCACTTGGAGGAAACAGCCACAAGGTAGAACTCACACATATGTAACTCAGCAGATGACCTTTCCTACACCCTGCATTTACCTATTTTCAGATAAAATTACCTTTTTCCTTTTTCTTTCTTTTTCTTTTTTTTTTGTAAACAGGAAATTTAAAAAAAAAAATCCCCCATTCGGCACATTTCGTCAGCTGTGTGTTGCCTACCTAAGTCAATTAACAGAGGCACAGGGAGCAGTGCCTTACAGTGATTTCCCAGGACTCCTCTGGAAATGAGCTGACACATCTCCAGAGATTATTCCCCACTAAAGTAATTTTAAATAACTATATTAAAAAGCCAGTGGAAGTTGCAAGTAGGGCCTGATTCTGCCTCTCATCGCTGGCCCTTCGTATCTTTGGAAATCTGAAACGAAATGTACTTTAAATGTGTATTAAAACTGCCAGAGCAGTTGCCTTCAGGCAAATGCGATGTGGGACAGGAAAGCACAGGAATGCCCTGTGTTTGTCTCCATGGCAGAGAGGAGGGATTTTGGGAATAATATCCTCTGTCCTCCCCACAGGCTGCGAACGCACATCTACTCACAGCACAGGATTACCTTTGTATTAATCAAAAGCAGCTTGATTAAATCTGCACCTTTACAAAGAAGGGGAATTAAACCAACTGAAAACATTCATTCCAGGACAAAACTTTATGACAGACACTGCAACTTTGGGAACAAAGCCCTTCCCGAGCAATCCCACCTGCTCCGCTCGGCTCGTGCGCTCGGGAACAAACACCCGGTTACATGCTGAGGACACGGGTTGGTCTGATCCTAGAAGAGCATCAAAATAAAACCCTTTAAGCACAAAGTTAAACACCAGATGTCAAAAGGGGCAGGGGGGGCTGTGGTCTGGGGCACTTGCTCATGACTTTGCTCTTCGGAAGGAAGTTTTTTTAATTCCCGATCCGACGCCGTTGCGGAAGGACCTTTTGTCGAGAGGCGTCTCCGGGTGAGGCTTTAAAAGAGCCAGTTCTTCATCCCTGCCCACCTTGGCTAAGCAGCTACTCAGCAGGATCAGGCAATAATCAGGTTTTCCATACAGCTGGCAATTCAAATAAAAAGGATTGTTGCTCTGGAGATTAAAAAAACAAGCGAACAAGGGAAAAAAAAAAAAAAAAGACAAGACAAGGTAAAATTATAGATTCGTGTATTTGCCAGGGCTTGTTCACTATAAAAAAGCAGAGTAGAAACACAAAAACAATTTATTGTTTATGACAAAGATGAACTGTTATTTGCTAAGGATTTCTCATACTGAAAATCAGATTTTTTTTTTTTTTCATCGTTTTCCAGAAATCTTCACTGCATTTCTGGTATAAAATACTGACACAATTATGCTCACAGTATGATATGAATTGTTTTCTGTGATGGTGACCAGTTGTGACATGTGACACAGTTTCCCTGGAATAGCATCCGTGTTTATTGCTGTAAAATGAGACTTTTTTTTCAGTGAACAATGAAATAGAATCTTGTTGTAACTTGTGTGAAGTTATGTAGCTTAAATGACAGGTAAGAGAAAACAAAAATACCTGTAAAGCAGAAATCTGGGAGAGGAAGATTTCCACTAGGTCTGAGTGGTTATGGTAGTAGCAAAGTTTAATAATGAAAATAGAGTAATAGGAATTTTAAAAATTCTGGATGAAAATCCATGTAGGTTTCTGGACACATTCCTTCCACCTGCACTTTACAGGATAAAAATGCAAACTGCCTAAAAACTTTTACAGATTTGAACTGCCCTTACATTAAACTGCACTTGGATTATCACTGAATTATAAAATCCAAACATTTCCTGGCATGCCTATAGCTGCTGTGTGCATCTTTCACCATACCCTGATTTCCCAGCTGCTTGATTATCTATCTATCTATTATCTATTCCATCTCTAAAATTTCCTTCACTGAAATAAAATTTAGATTTACTAGTTTTAATTCAGTATCCTATTGCTTTTATTTAATACTCTTTAGTACTTTATATTTTTTTTGTTTGTTTCATGATTCTTAACAAGCAAGAGCAAATCCCAGCCCCTTCTGCCCTTCTGATGAGGGGTTTCCCCAGACTGAATTTTCTCCCTAACAAGAAGAAACACTTTTTTTACAAAAAAAAAAACCCAAAACCAACAAAACCCAGGCACAGAGAAATTCCCCTTTGAATTTTTAGCTGCTACCTCCCTAGACTTCCCTTACTGAGGAAATGACTTGTTACCTTGAAATGGACTAAATAAACTCAATAAATTGCAATAACTAAACTCAATTTTACCTATGACATCACTGCCACACAGAGATCCATTAGGAAAAGTGGCTGCTCAGATCAAGCTGTGCCCAAGCTATCCACGATCAGAAATGAAAGATGATTCAGCATTTACAGAAGTAAAAGAGAGAGAGGAGCCAGGCAATGGATACTTTAAGGATAACAGGGATTTCACATCCATAAAATAACCACTAGCCAGAAATTCTGATAACAGCAGATCACCCTAATGAAAAGATAATGGGGCAAAACACACCAGAGGAAACACAGAAATATGAGCTGTGGCTCCTGGAGCTGATTTACAGCCATAAAATACAGGGATCTAAGGAAGGCTTCGTCCAAAGGAGGGAAATTGGTCATCATTAGAAATAAAATATCTCATTCCACGTTGGGAAAGTCTTAGGTAGTGTCTGGGTGGCTTGGCCAGCAATGGAAAGGATATTAATATTATTTAACTGAGCTGCTCCCTTCAGCTTTACAGGCTGTTCTACTTTCTCTCATAGTTCAGTCAAATTTCCACTCCTATGAAATAATTCTCCACAGCTTCATATAAGAATTTCAACTTTCCCTATCCACTGACAGATAAATTAATTGGTTTATAAATAAGCTGTCAATAAGTGAAATTAACACATGTATCTAATTGTACCTATTTCATGTAGGCGAGGAATTTAGAAGAAATGAAGAGATTTATGTTTTTTTTTGTCTTCCATACAATATTTCAGCTCCCCACACTCCACATTAATTATGCACTGGATTTCTCACATGATTATTTTAGAGGCTTGCATATTTTATTAATAACTAAAGCAAAAATTGGGTTATACTCCAGGGAAATTAGGTAATGATAATTAACCAATAGCTTTAATACAAGGAACTTCTTTCATTTCATAGAAGAAAACAACAACAAAGAAGCACTCAAACCAACAAAACTAATTTAAATAAAACAGCAATTTAAAATACATGAAGCATCTCATCTTGAAGTAAGCAGGGAGTGGCACTTACCATGGAAGGGCCAACTGGGTAACCCGAGCACACGAATGTCACTGAGATCCAAAGAAGGAAAACAAAGTTTAGCCTGCATAGACTTCAAAGAAAAGAGGAGATTAATTAAAATTTGAACTGAAATCAAGCAAAACTACGTGAATGCAGAGAACAACACCGAAACCCAGCATATTTTCTCCATAAACCAAGTAACCAGCAGTGTCTTTACCTGCTCATTTTTCACTCAGGAGAGTGCGTGTATGTACATGCAGTTCTGCTACCAAATTCCTCGCACATCCCTTCAGTTCTTTCTTAGATGACCATTTTATACCAGAGTTCAGGAGTGAAAATGTCATCAAAGCTGATTTTATTATGACTAATTGGCCCTTGTTTGGCCTTTTCTTCTTGTTAAATGGGAAAATGGCAAGAACACACGTTCAGCTGCCATTACAAAACCACCGAGCGATTTCATTTAAAGTGTCCCATTAAATGTCTCTCAGGAGGGTTTATTGGTACGTCTGGACCATCACAGCAAACCTGGGCAAAGGTCTAAGGATTTCAAAAATACATTTCAAGAGTTTGTTGCCACTTCCAATAGATCAGGTTAAGACCTTGGAAAGCCTGGCAGCGAGGGAGAAGCACTAAAACTGCACTTCGAGTGGAAAGTTCCTCAAAGAATCTTATTACACTCAGAGCAGCCACAATACAGAACAATATCTATCTATCTGTCTTCTTCTTCTCCCTTTTTAAAATTTACATGCTTGGTTTTTAATGCACCCCAATTTTAAAAGTGTTTTTCTTTTAACTGAAGTCCTGTGGACACTTATTTCTGTTACATGCAGACATATCTCAGCTGACATTAAGTTTATTCAATCAAATCTGCTGGAGGATTAATGTATGGCTTTAATTTCCAATGCAGCAAATGCTTGCTGCCTGAGAGCATAATTTGTTGCTGCAATAGATTTAATTGTGTGACATTTTAGGGGCTGTGTGGTTTATCTGTACAGAGTCAGCCTCCTGATGTAGATGCACCTAATTCCAGGAGGCAGATTGCTGGAAGACCTTCAGGTGAGACTGGGAGAAAGGTATGTAAGGGCCTTTAAGAGTTTTTATAGAAAAATTCATAATGGGATCCCAGATTGTGACTGACAATTTGTTCCTCACTGTCCACGGTGGTGCTGATCATGTCAGTGGTTGAGATAATCCAGTGACTCCAGACTTTTAACAAGGATGTGCTTGTAGTTGCTGGTGAAATACTTCAGGATCCTTCAGGACCAGCAGGGCTATAGAAATAGGGATAAATTAGCCTCACCTAAACCCTGCAGTCTGCAATCCCTTAAGAAAACCTGACAGGAGAACATTTCACTATTTGCATATTCAGTCTGTGTCCCCTTATTCACAGAGAAAATCCTCTGGTTTGAATCGAACCTCCCGTTCCCACTCTACGGGACCTCCAGCTCCAAGGATAAGAGGATTAGTCCGTGTTTCTGCTGCAAAGAAAAGCCCTTTGGGTCAGATTCCGCTCTGTGTCAGCTTTCACTGCATCTGCATTTAGTATAACTCCATTTTCATACAAAACTAACCTTCACACAACTCTTTGTGAAGATGAGGGACAGGAACAGGCTTGTGATAAAAGTTCAGGATTTCCATGTTCAGCCTTAGACTCTCCAGGTGAACTTTGGTGCGTTACTAACTCAGTTTTATCATGAGTTGTTTGACCTCCTGGTGACCCTCCACTGTGCCTGCTCAGCACCTCCTATGCTCAGCTTTATCACATCCCTCTAAAAGAGAGGATTTGGCCACATTTCTGGCTCACAAACTTTGGACATGAGAGACTCTCCATGGGCACCTTCAGCATGAGCTGGTGACGGGGGGACAACCAAGTGAGGCCACCAAGCAGCTCCCAGGAGGTTCCAGGGAGACCTCAGAAAGGATGAAGCTTTGTAGAACCTGGAGCAAAGCAGCAGGTTATGGAAACTTCAAACATCATGGGAAGAGAGTTCCTGTGTGACTTTCTAAGGAAGGAAAAAGGATGATCATTACGCTCCTTAGGGATGTTTCCTGTGGTCCAGAGGACTTGGCTCTTATAGGAGACAGGCAAGTAATGTTTGGGGTTTTTTCTCCCCCACGAAATCCAAGAGAAGATTCCAGGTTTTCAAAGGCTTTGACCAACCACAAACAGCTTTCACATGAAAGAACCATAAAAACATGGAAGAGTTTAGACTGGAAAAGCTCCCAAGACCATCAAGTCCCAAGCACTGCCAAGGCAACCACTAACCCACGTTCCCAGGTGCCACATCCACATGGTTTTTAAATCTCTCCAGGGATGGGGACTCCACCACTGCCCTGGGCAGCTGAGCCAGGGCTGGACAATAAGTTTTGGGAAGACATTTTCCCTGATATCCAACCTAAACCTCCCTGGTGATGCAGATGGCACTTGGACAAGTAAGAATTATTGAGACATGACCACCCCAGAATGGGGCTCGAGGGGTTTGCCCACCCCTCAGACACACAGAATTGCTTTTACCTGAAGATTCAATCCCTCATATTTGCTTCTCCCTTCTTTTGGTTTATTTTTTCCTCGCTCTTCAGGATGCAATTTAACACACCACAACCGTGATTTGCATGCAGAAAGCGTATCTGGAGGTTTAGATACATCCCAGATATTCCCACTTCAGGTTTGGAGGAATCAGGTTTAACAGAACAAGTGGCAATTGACATTTCTGGCTGCTCCTCTCTGTCTGCAGGGCACCCAGACAGAGGCTTTGCTCCCAGCCAAGGTTCACTGACAGGTATCACAGGTCACAGCAATCATTAAGAACCACAATAAAAAACTCCCAGCATCCATAAAATTTGCATTTTAGGAGAATGAATTAGCAGCAATATCTTCCACTTGCCTGCAAAGCCGACGGCATCACCTCTTCCCTCCTGCTTCTTTGTTAAAGGAACAGTGCATGGAACCTTGTTACTGCTTTCCTCTGGTTTTCCCCAAAAAACCTATGAAACAATAAAAAAAATATTTTTTTTTGATGAGCCTCTCAGACCTTGCAACTTAATGAGCTTAACAGGCCTATAAGCTTTAGAACATGATATATCCTTCCCCCATCACAGCAGTCAATCTAAAGTATTTAAATTAACTTTGCTAAGGGAACAAAACGATAAAAATTGATGAACACACCAAACCCTGTCTTTGTGGTCCATTGGTATAACCCCAACATGAACAGTAGGTTCATGCTCTGGATAAAGGCAAAGTGTGGAATCTTGTTGTTTTCCTTTGGGATGCTTCCAGAGAAACCTCAGCATGGTTTTTCCAGAGAAAGCCTCCAGGATGTTTTGCTCCAAGCTCAACTTTTTTGTTGCTTTCAAGAACACAGAGAAACCATTTGTTCTGAGACCATTGCAGGGTGCAAGATGGAAACTAATCCTGCTCCCAGCATATAAATCTGTTACTGGCTCAGTGTTAATAGAAAATCCCAGCAAGACACGAAGACAGAAGAAAAACAGGAGGAGTCAGAAAGCAGGTTTATTCCTTTGGTCATTATTGCTGTGTTCTCACTGCCAGCGAGGGACACAACCAAACCTCTGCTTGCACCACTGGGATCTCATCTGCAGAGGCACAAAGGAGCTGAAGAGCTGCTGTAGATGCACACTTGACTGTCTCTGTGCACTGTCTCTAATTCCCTTAAACTTGGGTTTGATGTGGTTGCTCCACCTTTGGAAGTGTCCAAGGATAGGCTGGATGGGACTTGGAGCAACCTGGGCTAGTGGAAGGTGTCCCTGCCCAGGGCAGGGGTGGGATTAGATGATCTTAGATGATCTTTAACCTCTCTTCCAACCCAACCATTCTCTGATCCAGACAGAGCCCAGCCCTGGCTGACAGGAGCAAGGGGCTCTAATGCCAAAGGTGCAGCACTGGTGGACACAACTCTTGCCTCCCTCCTGCACTTGGTATTTGACAGGCAGTGCCTGACCATCTCTGACTAGTCCCCAAGCACGTGGCACTCGTGCCTGTGGCCTGGAACTGTCCTCTGTGCCCTTTCCTTGGCTCTTGTGCCATCTCCTTGGCTCCTGTGCCATCCAGGTGTTCTCACCATGTGCTCTCTGTGGAGGACACAACAGTCTCATCAAAGGTCAGGTGCATATTTTGCCAGTCCATTGAGGCCTGTGTTGGCTGCTGTGGATAAACAGCTCTGTGTTCCTGTTTCAGCTTCAGAAGTTCTCCAGAAGGAGGGACACGATTATTGGATTTCACGTTGGCTGCTAAAGCTGCTGCCCACAGAGCACAGTCGTGTCAGGGACACACTGCTCGAGCTCCTGCAGGCAGGGACAGCTCCCAGCTGAGCCCTGGCACTTAGCCCTGGCTTAAAAGATACTTGGTTCCTTTTTAAAACCTACTTTTAATGCAATTGCACTCAGACATCGCTCCCCTCTACGCCTGAGCTTGCAGGGGTTAATGCACCTTCTGACACACGGGTTTGATCTACGGGAGGGAGAAAATCAAAAGGCATTAAAGGCAGCAGAGGCACTGCCAGTCCTGCCTCCCCCTCCACAGCAGTGCCTGGGTTTCCTGGATGGATGCTCAGCAGGCAGGAGGGAAGCAGCAAGAGCTGTGTGACGAACAGGTCTGAGATTTGTGGACATACTGACCCTGCTCAGGATCCCTTTTTCCACCCGATTTCGAAGCACTTCAGCATCATGAGGGCTGTGCACGTCACTGTCCCAGCAAAGGGGACGGAGCTGCGGTTGGATCCTCCCATGCCAGGAGGAGAAGTCAGCCCTAAAGTCACGTTTTTGATGCCACCTCATCCAGGAATTGTCACCGTGTCATAGTCACCATCCTCAGGATCTGACAGTCTAAATCATCCTCTCTAATTATATATATTCCTTTTCCTGGTTACAATGTACACAGAGATGGTGTGGGCAGAGACAGCTTGAGTTTCCTTATCCCACTCCCAGCACGGGGCAGAGCTGTTGCTGATGTCAAAACCGATGATGGAAAGCGATGCCAAACGTCATCGTCTCCCACATCCCGCAGCACGTGGCACCTCACAGATCCCCTGCCAGGCCACAAACATCCACACCACTTCTGCTGATGCCACCACACTCGTGCCACATCCCACGTGGAACGGCAAAAAATAAGGTTTTTTTGGCGAGAACATATTTAAACACAGCAGTAATTTACGGATTTACAGATCTCCCGCGTTTTCGGTCAGGTTCCTTCGCACGCCTTCAGAGAAACAATCTGCACGAAGCCCAACATGAAAAACAAGCTCTCCTTGTTCTCTCTGCACCACCACCAAGTGTTAAAGCCATTTGATAATTTATCTGGAGGGACAAGAAAAAAAAAAAAAAAAAAAGAGCAGAGCAGACAAAAGTTGCTCAAACCATTAAGGGGAGGCTCAGCAAGGGAAAAGTGATGGTAATTAACATTTTTGCTGTGCTGATTTGTACACGCCAATGTAATTTATGCACGCAGAAATGTCTCAAATAGATCCTGCAGGAAGTTGCTGCCTAAGAAAAGATGTCAGTGCTGAGCTAAAAAGACACCTGTCAAAGCCAAAACCCAATTTCTGTTCAGATGCAGCAAAGATCTCGATGATCTGAGAAAGCCTGAATAGTTGTTGAAGTAGAAGGCAGAAAGAGAAAAGAGCCCAGATAGACAAGAAAAAGCAAAGTTTTTTTGAGGAGAGTGAGGAGAAAAGGATGTAGGAAAGTCTGATGTGACTTTAGAAGGAGAGATCAAACTTTAAAGGGATCAGACTTTAAAGGAGTCAAGGAAAACTAACATAAATATTATAAATAGTAAGGAATAGGGAGGAAGAGCTGGGTGGCTTTGAAGGGCACAATTTTTTCTGTATCTCAAGGTTCTCTCATGGGTAAGGCGAAGGAAGACAAGGAAAACATATCCAGTGTTTTCTATTATGCTAAGATGCCAGCAGAATATTCTGTCTCAAGCAAGTTTGTGTATTTTCACCGACAGAATCTCAGTGCAAACCCATTTCTTCCTGCTCTCCAAGTCCTTGGGATGTCACAGCAACAGCACTGTGTCAACCAGGAATGGACAAAAGGGAGCAAGGTGGGGCAAAAGCCAGAGCTGGCAGCACTGCTATCCCAAGGAATTATGAGAGGAGGCAAAATGTGGGACACAAACCCGCAGACCTGCAACAACTGCAAGGACAGAAAGGGACACAGAGGATGCTGAAAGCTCATCTGGATACTCAGCACCTACAGGCTGGACAGAAAGGGGGGAATTGCTCCCACCTGAGCAGGATTTTATGCAATCCAGAGTGACCTTCAGGAAGGAAAACAGGTCAGCTGGATGCAAAACATCTGTCAACAGGCTCACTGCCTCCACAAACAGTCCTGATCAGCTGGGTTGGAAGTAAAGTTACTTCTCATTTGGCAGAGAATTATGAGAAAATCTCCAAATCACAACTCAGGAGTGACTCAATTTCTTCCTGAACAGGCAACATTTGCGAGGCAGAAATCTCAGCTGTTCCCCAGATTAGCTCTTGGCATTTCTGGAGAAGGGTAAGATGCCACTTTGAATTTGTGACACGAGACCTAAAGTACCTTCAGGAAATAAGTGGCTACATCTGGAACAGCTCTCATCATTTGGAGGAGGTGAGAGGACACACCTTTTTTTTTTCTCCAAAATGCAGAGCTTTTTCCATCTGTCCTTCATGCTCTTTTAGCCCATTGCTATTTTCTTTCTCCTTGTCTGTGCCACTTAAATAAACAAGGATACTGCAGACTCTTTAAAGGAGTCGTTCTTTCCCACAAAAGCCTTTTGAAAGGAGGGATCTTCTCCATAATGACCCACTAAACAGAAAACAAACAGGCACTGAGCCCTAGAGCAAGCAGTTTTGTCGTGCTTTAAAATTTGCTGGTAGGGAGATAAAATCAAAGCCTGAGCCTGCCTTGCTCTGCAGCCTCTGAAAATGCCAGGCCTGGATGATTTCTTGGCGACTATCAGCGCTTATAAAGGTCCTCAAGCAGCAGAGGTAATGTGGCTGTCAAACATTTCGGTGCCCAGGCTGACGTGCCTTTTGTCTGAACACGAGCGACCAAGGAGCCTGATTTCCCCTTGTGTTCTCTCCCCCTCAGAAAAGGCTTCATCCAAAAATATCACACATACCAAAAGACAGGAGAAGTTGCAGTTTCCTCACTGAAAGCCTCTTGCAGCCGACTGGATTTTTCTTGCTCTGTGCAAGGGTTTCTTTGTGCCCAGTTATGTTTCGGTGTGTGATGTAACTCCTCAAGAAGTTGTATCTGGAAAGAGACTTTTAACGAGGGCCTGGAGGGACAGAACAAGAGGAAATGGCTTTAAACTTGAAGAGAGTAGGTTTAGATTAGATTAGAAGGAATCCTTCCCTGTGAGGGTGGTGAGGCCCTGGCACAGGTTGCCCAGAGAAGCTGTGGCTGCCCCATCCCTGGAAGTGTCCAAGGCCAGGCTGGATGGGGCTTGGAGCAAGCTGGGCTAGTGGAAGGTGTCCCTGCCCGTGGCAGGGGGTGGAACGAGATGGCTTTTAAGATCCCTTCCAACTCTAACCCTTCTGTGATTCTATACTTTGATATCTGTGTCTCTTTTTCTTCTATTACTAGCATGAATACCTAAATAAATACCAAACCTCATCTCTCCTCCTCTCTCCACCATCTGAATTCCCCTTTTAGCATCAGGGTCTTCAGGATTTTTACCCCTCCCCACAGCTGCCAACTTTGGAGGTAATCAGCTTCTTAATCAAGAGTACAGATTAGTAGGAATAAACACAAAATCCAATATTAGAAAAGCTCATGTAACCTACTCTCTGAGGAACAGGGAAGGCCACGGATGCTGAGGATCAGGATTGTTCCCCGAGACAGGACAGTGGGTATTCTCCAGCTACTCACTAGAGAGTTTCACTGCTCTGGTCTCCCAGGAGAAGCTCTGAAGGCACAGCACATGAAAAGGAGCAGCTCTCCATTCAGCCTGGCACTGCACTGACTGCCAGGAGCAAACATGTAGTGCTCAAAAAACCCTGTGCCTCTTTCTTCCTTCCAAAGGCCCTTCCTGCTGACAGCCCCCGCTTTCATTTGAGCGCGGAAGGTTCACGCTTTTAAACCCAATTCCCAGCTCACAAGTACGCTGCAGAAATGACATGCTGGACTTCAATGTCGCACTTCTCAATGAAGTCTGAGCGTGTCCCAGCTCTGAGGGGTGAGGAGAGACAGGGCATCGCTTTCAAAGGGCTGAGGGCATCGTTTTAAACTCAAGAAGTACCAGGAGCTGGAGGACTCGGCTCTGCAGCAGGCGAGGAGCACACCTGAGTTAACACTCTGTGGAAGCACCACGTGCTCCCCTCAGCTGGGCCTCAGCACTGAACGGGTGTGGTGGGACCCCAGGGTTTATGGGTGTGAGGATGTGCCCCAGGGACAAGGTGATGCTTCCCCTGGTGCTTCGTGAGCACCATCTCCACCAGCTCAGGGATCTCTGCCCAGGGCTCCTGCCCTTCCTCATTGCCTCAAGAGATCAGAGATGCTCCAACAAGCACAACAAATTATGAATGAGCAGCTAAGGGAGAGAAGCTCCCACAGTCCCAGTTACCGCAGCAGGAACGACACGACCACATTACACGTAAGAGATCCCTTGAAACTCAGATAACCCCACAGTTCTCTGCCTTGCCAAACTCCATAATATCAGCATTGCCTGAGCCATCAGGACAAGAGCTAAAAATACTCTGATCCAACCCATTGCAGGCTCCTGATGTGAGGACAGAGTCTCTTAACATGTGCTCTGTGGAACTGTTGCAGTGTGTGGCCTCGGGGCAAGTCTGCACCATGGGCCTGACACCGATAACCATGTGGCCAAGAGGCTCAGCCCAAAGTTTTCCCATTCCCCTAGAACAATTCACAGCTCAGCCCTCCTGTGGTTTCTTGGTGCATCTCAGAGTCAACCTCTCCTTTTTCAGTGCTGAACTATGCTCTTAAGCCATATCAAATCGCTTTGCAGTCCCTGCACTTCACGAGCTCCAAAGTGGATGTTCCTGTTCCACATGTCAGGGACAGGAGACACAGACTGAGAACTTTGCATCTCCCAGGACTATTTTCTAACCTAGAGCCTCCCCCCAGACCCCACTGACACATTTGGGGTGGTGTAGCCCGAACAGGTGCTGGGGAGGGGTTTTGAAGAGGAGCATACTGTGCTCATGCAGTGTCATGTTCTCCACTGTCCTTCTGTGCTCAGTCCTATTTTCCACACGAATGGACTCAGAACCAAAACAAAATACATTTACTATGGTTTTCTTCTGCTGCACAAAGTGATGTTTTCATAGAATCCTAGAATGGTTTGGGTTTTAAGGGGACCTTGAAGATCATCTCGTTCCACCTCCTGCCACGGGCAGGGACACCTTCCACTAGCCCAGGTTGCTCCAAGCCCTGTCCAACCTGGCCTTGGACACTTCCAGGGGTGGGGCAGTCAAAGATGCTCAGGGCAATCTGTGCCTCCTCACTCTCATAGGGAAGAATTTCTTCCCAAAATCTAATCTAAACCCACTGTTTTTGAATTTAAAGCCACTTCCCTTTGTCCTTTCACTACCTGCCCCCCTCTCCAGCTCTCTCAGCGTCTCTTTAGGTACTGACAGGCTGCAATAAGACCATCCCAGACATTTCTTCAGGAGGTCTTCTCCTTTCCCCTTCCTAACTTCAGCCATGTGGGGTTTTTGTCTCTTGTCTCACTAATATTTCCCTTTAGCTCCAGGTTCACCTGCCTGTCTCTGCCCCCTGAGAGGAGTTTTTCCTCTGTGCTCCCAGAATCCATCATCCACTCCAGCAGGTTGTGCCCAGGCTACGTGTCTTGAGCAGTCTATTCTGGACAATACCAGCCCCAGGAATGACCTTAACTTGGAGAGAATATCCCAGACTCATCCAAAGCACATTTGCTTTTCCAGCCTCCGGGAAGCTCGGCGAGGCACGTCTGCTGAGTGCAGGCTCTCCAGCACGGAGGGAAGCTGGCCAGGCAAGCCCTGCACCCTGCTGGGGATGAAGATGTTACAGTTGCCTGGGAAACCACTCCATGGGATCACTAAAAATGCATTCTATATGTTTGCCTTCAGATACAAGATTATCACCTTGTCCATGAGCAGTGTCAGGAGAAAATCCTGCGACGGGATAAGCTCAGGCTGGAACCTGCAGGAATCAAATAACTCTTTTCACAGAGATAAATCCAATATAAAGTGACTCACGGTCCAACATCAACCAAATGTGCCCTGCAAGGATAAAGGTGGGCCACAGTCAGAGCATTAAAGCACCTCATTCCTCAGCCAAGGACACAAGGATACAATCCATTAGTCTATTATTGGCAGGTTGAGGAACTGTCTGAGTAGGGAGAAAAGATCTATAATCAAAGGAGATGGGGTTATTCAAGGACTGAGAATATTTATTTAGATTCAATGTTTTTAAATTTGGAATTTTTTTAACCTATTTTAAGGAAGAATACATTCAATAATTACAGCAGGAGCACTGGTAGCCACCAGGTAGCCACAAGCCAGGCCCAGATGGATGGTGGGGTAAAATCTCTGTTTGCACCTTCTCATAGCAATGAGCAATTCTGGACTCATCCAAGAAGTTGGAGCTCTGTCACATTCCTTTCCCAAGGTTTTCTCTGGCACCACAACAGTGACATTTCACACAAACCCCACAGACTTAATGGTGAAGGAATTCCAGCAAGAACTGGCAAATGCTGGTTTGGGGGAAATCAGGTTTAATAGCAAGCAGGAAGGGGGAAGAACTTAAGGTTAGGTGACATTTTATTACAAAATAACAAACCAACAAGTCAAATCAGGACTAGGTTGTGCCTAAATATCACAGATTCATAGAATGGTTTGGGTTAGAAGGGACCTTAAGGACCATCTCATTCCAACCCCTTGCCATGGAAATATGGTGGGGGGTATTAGACCAGTTTTAGAGGAGAAAGAGCAATAAAAAAGAGCAAAATATTGCTCAAAATTTCCTATTTCTGGCAGCAGTTTAAACAAGGAACCCGGTACAATTTCACTGCTTGCTTACCTTCAATCAAAGAACAACACTGGGCTTTAATTCCTCCTGTGGGTGTAGTTCAGCTCCTAAGTTAAAATCCAGGCTTAATATCCTCTCCTCATAATTTAGGTCACGGGCAGAGAAGCAACACAGGAAACAGAGAGAAATTTCAGGCTTTGCAATAGAGGCTAAAAAACCCCATCCTGTGCTTGAGGCTCCCGGGGCAGCAACTGCAGCCGCTGCTCTGCTGGGAAAGAGCCAAGCCTTGCAGCCGAAAAAGGGTTTGAAGTCCCTACAGGATTCAAAACTGGGGTTACCAGGCCTTTGCTGGGGTCTGTCTTCAGCCTCTGAGGTTGTCTGACTGGTGGCTGAGGTCAGGAAAGAGCCTGTTCTGCTCTTGGAATGGCTCATACCCTGTGGGCAGCCTGAAGAGCAGGCAGAAAGGCCAACATAGCACTGGGAGGGCTCCATTTCCAGTTCCTCTCCTCTGCCAGGGACAAAAAGAAACAAATAGGGATGTTTCTTAGGGAGGATCCCAAATCATTGGGATCATCCAGTTCACGTGGATGATAAAAATGAAGGAGGAAAGTGTTTAATGGAAGAAAAAGGTGTCTCAGTGAAAGGTTGGGAGAGCTGGGGGTGTTCACCTGGAGAAGAGAAGGCTCCAGGGAGACCTGAGAGCCCCTTCCAGAGCCTAAAGGGGCTCCAGGAGAGCTGAAGAGGGAATTTTCACTAGGACAGGTAGTGAAAGGACAAAGGGGAATGGTTTCTCACTGAAAGAGAAATAGATTTAGATGAGACATTAAGAAAAAGTTCTCCCCTGTGAGGGTGGGGAGGCCCTGGCACAGGCTGCCCAGAGAAGCTGTGGCTGCCCCATCCCTGGAAGTGTCCAAGGCCACGTTGGACGGGGCTTGGAGCAACCTGGGCTGGTGGAAGGTGTCCCTGCCCATGGCAGGGGGTGGAACGAGATGATCTTTACTGTCCCTTTCAACCCAAACCATTCTAGGATTCCATGATTAAACAGCAGATCAGAGCAGTACCGGGCTGGGAGCACCTTGTGTTGGGTTTTTTTCCCAGTCCTTCACTTCAACAATACGAACAAACCACATCACCTTCCCCTCCGGTCCCTGTGACACAGTTACACACGCCCTCATCAGTCAGTGCCATGTGACTCTCTGCAGTTTATGATGCTCATACTCATCTAAACAAACAATAATTGCATTGCACAAGGCTATAAACTCCACGTTCTGGGGGGTGTATCTTTATTAAACTGTGTGTCTACACGCTCTTACTAACTTATACAGCACCTTTCTTGTTAAATATAACAGCAAAATAGAACTGAGTCTTCCATTCCTAATGGTGGGCTGGGTTTGTTTTTATTGCCAAAATGCATGTGACTAAATTTTTGAACATCCCAAAATCCTCTGGAGCCTTAGATGAGCAGAGCAGCCTTACAAGGCAGCCCTGGGGTTTTTTGCTGGGTCACCATCAGGCCTGGGCAGAGATTGTTCCATCCAGCTGACCCAAAATGCTGCTAAAAACACAGTCAGGTCTTTCAACACTGCACAGACCAAATTAAACTTCCAGGAATCTGCATCCAACGGATTCCTGACATACATTTCAAGTATTATTTTATTTTATCTTATTTTATGTTTTTAGTCTTTTTTAGTATTTCAGCTCTGGCTTGATTTGATTGAGATTTTCAGGAGCAAATAATAATAATAATAATAATAATTAATGAAGAATAATTAACCAAATCCCAGGGGAAGGTGCCATATATTTCAGTTTACAGCTGGTGACACTGGGGAGAACACAGGACTTTATGTGCCCTGTTACCAACTGGCCTCTTCGTGTGGGAAAAGGGAAATGAAAAAGAAAAGGAGGAAAGGAAAAACGGAGGAGAAAGGGAAGGCAAGGTTCAATTCTGCACATTTTCTTCTGGTCTAGCATTAACTTGGAGCAGGTTCATTAAGCCTGGCTCCACTGTGACAGACACCCAGCTGCTCCAGCCCTTGCTGCCAACGCGATCCCGGTGAACCGAAGGGAGACTTCCAGGGGCTGGGATGGCAATTCCCACATCCCTGCTCACACAGCTCCTTGGCCTCCCAGCAAGGGCTGCCAGTAAGGCTGTCAAATTAGGGAGATGGTGTCCTGTAACGTGGATTTCTTTCCTGTAGGTGGGAAAACCTCTTCCCTGCTGGGCAGGGAAGCGCCAGAATCGCCACAGGGTGGGAGCTGCATCCACTGCCTGCAGGGAGGGAATGGAGCTGCATCCACTGCCTGCAGGGAGGGAATACACACCCAGTAGCAGTGCCTGGATATCCAACCTGCTCTGGAGACTCACTCAAAAAACAAATATACAGCTTCAAGGTATCGTAGTGGCGCAGCAATGCCAGTGATGCCACCAAACCAACCCTCACATCCGTCCTTTTCCATCTGTTTGGGCACTCTGAGCGAACTCCCCAGCCCTGCCAGAGCAATGCAAGGGGAACGTGCAACAAATCAGGTAACACAGAGAAAATCACTGCCAGAACAGTCGTAGCAGAGGCCTGAAATTCACTTTCACCTTCTTTTTTTCCTACTGAAGAAGCAGAAGCTGAAATACCCCGTGAGAGCTCCACACCATGAGCAGAGAGGATCTCACCAGAGAGCTCTGTGAGAACAGTTTTTTCTATGCAGAGAGGAGAAAATTAGTGTTTGCTCAGAAGAAGAAGTAGTTTTCAGAGAGAAAAAAAAATTAAAAAAATAGGTCAGAACAGAAATTCTGTAGTTTTAGTAGGAAATACTAAAGTATTGCTGAAGCCAAGCAAGTAAACAGAATGGTAAATAACCAAAGAAGACTTTCACATATTGCTGGATAAGTCACAGGTGTTTTGTTGCTGGTTTTTTTATAATTACTTTTTTTTTTCATAGTCTTTCTGCAATTAAACGTCCCTACACATGTTTTAGGGAGAGCAATGCATTGGAAAATCCCACAGTGCTGGAGAAGCAGCCTGTGCACATCTCCAGGTTTAGCAGGTCAGAGACATCAGGATTTTTCTAGGGAGAATTCTGGATGCTGGTTAAAAACCCTAAAAAAATCACAGGGTTTCTTCACTTCACATCAACTGTTCCCTTTTCCTGTTCTTCTGCACATAAAGCAGAAAATGCCTGGACTGAAACCTCCATGGGAAAAAAAAAAAAAAAAAAAAAAAGGTGATGTTGCTGCCTTGGGGGTGCTGCTGGAAAACTCTGTGTGTTCTTTTGTCTGCCTCTGCCTGTGGAAAAATCCATCAGGGCTTAAGGCTTTAGGGCTTTCTGCAATTATTTTATTCTGTGTTCAGTGAAACCCAGGAATCAATATTTATTGTGCACATCACAGTCCTGTGTTTAGCCCCAAAAAGGGTTTAAATTTGATAGCCAGAGAGTCCATATGTCAACAAACATATGGGCTGTGTATGTCACAGACACTTCATAAGCACATCTCTTTGTGAAATAAATAGCTGAGAGCTTCAGGAATTTTTGGAAGTGCCTGAAAACAACAGGCAATTGCAAATAGGGTGCCTAAATCATTTGAGATTATAATTTCAAACAGGGTGTCTCTGCTACAGAGTCCTTTTTTACTTGCTTCTAGGACTGTGTGATTTATCCTGCACTCCATCATTGATTTTGCAGTGGTCCATCTCTTTTAGCAGAGCCCACATTTATTTCCATAATTAGGATCACTGCAATGTTCTGAGTTTAAAATTGTGACCTTTGCATCTCTTTAAACAAAACTTTGAGCCAGTATGACTGTGTTTTACACAGCTCTGTCCTGCAGTGGCAGGGACTTGGAAAAACCCTCTCCCAGAGACTTCAGCTCCTCACTCTTAATAGTAAGATGTTCTAAGAAAAGCAATTTCAACTTATTCCTAGACTGAGTGCCATGAAGGGCTCCATTTGTCTGCAGCAAGCAGGTATTGACCATTCCCATCCATCCCTGTCCATCCCTAATGCATTCCCTCTGCCCATAGAGATGGGGATGGACGTGTTTTCTGCCTGAAATCGCAGCTAGAAAAGTGCATATTAAAGAAATTACCTTGGAAAACATGGTCTTTCAGTCTTCCCCCAGTTTTTTTCAGGGACAGGGAGTAGAAAACTTCTGAGACAGGAGCAGGGGTGGGAGCCCATGACTTCTGAGGTGATGTTGAGTTGGCTGCAGGTTCCATGATGATGGGAAGTTCTAGGCTTTCAGCAGTGGTGGCTTTTCACTGCCTGTCAAATAATTTAGGAGAAATCATTACAATGAGAAAGTCAGTTAGAAAAGGCATTGACATTAAAAAATGTCCTCAGATGAGAAATAAAGGGTGCTGTGTCCCAAACTTGGGTAAAGCAATGGCAGTGATGTCCTTTAAAATACGAATCTGTGATTTGCAGCAACTTGGTCTGCATTTCTTTAGGTAAATTATCAACAGCCCGACCATGAGATTGTGCTGAATACAGATTTTCAACAAAAAAGACGTGGAAAATTGTACAGACTAATGTCCATAAAGAGAGATTTCAAAATTGAACAGTAGCACCAATTATTCTTGGAAGCACCGGAAAATGAAGGCATTTCCCACTAGGACTGGATGAAGCAGTCAAACAGCCCAACACCTGGGCTGACAGTCATAAAGTTCTCACAAATCTTGATTGCTCTGCCAATGTCTGCTTCCAACAACTCGTTTGCAAGAACTTGGCTCTGCAAAAGCTGCTGATCCACAGAAGTCTGTGGCCATTCACGGACAGTGAAGTGAGCCTTCCAGCTTTCCATGAGATGGAACTACTGCCAGCTGTTTGTTGTAGCAACAGGAGTTTGTCTGGAAGTGTCCAAAGGTCTTAACTGCTGTCTGCAGCCAATTCACATGGCAAACGAGGAAAAAGAGGAGACACAACAAAGCAGAGACTACAACGTGGAATTTCGACCCTTCCAGGATTACCTTCTGAGATGTGGAGAGCAGTGAAGACAGAAATGATGGATGAAATAATTGTGTGAGGCATTATCAGGCAAAGCTAAACCTGTCTTGTGTTGCAGTTCATCCCAGCCAGGGAGGAGGGCCAGGCTGCACTTTGCTTTCTAACAAACAAGAAACAGCGTCCCTGCCTGTCCTCGAATTTTTCAGAGGAGATCTTCAGCACACAATCCTGAGAAAGCACCTGTCAAAAAAACAGGTGTCCCCAGCCACAGAGCACTGTGTGAACATTGATCATAATGATGATTATTTTGCAGTTGGAAGAGGAATGTATTTAATACCAGACAACTGGGGATAATGGTCCTTTTCCTGACAGATTTCACCAGAGGTCACAACAAACCCAGCGTAGCTCATGTCTGTGTGACAGGATCTCCCTTCCTGGGGGACATCTCTCACCAGCAGTGAGTGAAATGCCAGGGGACGTCGTGAATGAAGACAGAAAAGGAACTAAATCTCACCGAAGAGATAAATCTGCTTCATCCAGACTTCCCACAACAAAGGAAGAAGCCCAGCCAGTCAAAATTTCATGACTGGATTTATAACGG